TTGTTGTTGTTGAATGCTTTGTAATTCCGACCAGACACGGAGACAGAGGTGAAAGAGAAAGAAAAAGGTGGGGAGAGAGAGGGGGGGGGGGGGGGGGGGGGGGGGGGGTTCCACAAAAATAAATAATGAACAAGAGTCTGCTTCTAGACCTGCAGAAAAAGACAAAAAACAAAAAACAAAAGGACAAAAAAAAGGGACACAACAACAATACAACAAGATCTACCTATCCCTGCGTCAACTTGATGAAAAAATACATAATCAACATTGCTTAACTGAAGAATCACGATAATAAATCACAGTGCATTAAGTGCCCACCATAGTCTTAAGACCTGTGTTTAACGTGCCCAAGCCCATACTTTTGAGAGCACCATGTGAGCACCTGTGTGTGTACACACGCTTGTTTATGTAAGGTTTCTCTATAGGAGCGTCCAACAGAGAGTGTGAGGGACCACAGATCCGCCCCCCAAAGATGCACAGGAGACGGGGGGGAGCTCCAAGTCCCAGAGATCCAGGCGCTGCCCCAGAATGCAGGAACCCCAAGGAGACTGCAACCAGGAAGGCCCCCGCCCCCCTCGAGAGGCACAGAGGATCGCCCCAGGGGGCCACAACCAGCAGCCGGCAGAGTCCCGGGAGACATCAGCGGCAAGCCCACAGGCCCGCCCGCAGCCTCCCACCCCCTAGCCGGCCGAGCCCGGGACCCAGGGGCGACCACCCCCGCCGGGGACCCAGCAGAGCCCAGGGACCCAGACCCAACCAGGCAGCCACCGGGATTGATCAGACCCGGTTGCCACGAACACTCAGGCAGACCAAGGCACAACCCCTCACACCAGGTGTGGCAGGGGGAGGGGGGACGAAGATCTATATCATCAAAAGAAGCTCCAGGAGAGGGGAGGAGTCAAAGGCCCCACCTGACATATACAGACATACACAAAAACAGTCACACACTCCCTCCCTCATGCTCACACATGCACATACAACACAAGACTTACAAAGATGCACGCCGGACACCCACTCATGCTCCCCATACACACCCTATTCACTCTGGTCCCCCCCCCCCCCCCCCCCCCCCCCCCCCCCCCTCCTCTCTCCCTACCTTTTCTTTTCCTTTCTCTTTCACCTCTGTCTCCGTGTCTGGTCGGAATTACAAAGCATTCAAAAACAATAACAATAAAGTTTTAAGTATCAGGCGTGACATTAAAAGCAAACGCTTTGATGCTCCACCTGAGAGTAAATCTGTAAGGCTTGTTACCAGCATTCAGACATCAATTCTGTTTGCTTCACAGCCAGACAGGACACGGTTAAAAAAAAAAAGAAGAGGAAAATAGCCTTTTCGTCAAAGCAGAAAAATGTGAATTCCACAAGACATCTGCTTTTCTTGGTTACATCTTTGAGGCTGGATGCATGAGAGCAGACCCGGAGAAGATAAAAGCGGTTGAGGAATGGCCCACCCCAGAGACACGTAAGCAGCTCCAATGTTTTCTCGGATCTGCAAACTTCTACAGACGTTTCATCAAGGGTTTCAGTAATGTTGCTGCTCCACTCACCTCTCACTTCTACTAAGTGCACTTTATCCTGGAACTCGGATGCCCAAAAGGCATTTGAGAACTCAAACGAAGGTTTGTTCAAGTTCCTGTCCTCACCCAACCTGATCCTGAGGTCCAGTTCATGCTCGAAGTTGACGCATCCAGTACAGGATTGGGCGCAGTCCTCTTAAAACAATCCACATCTGATGGTAAACTGCATCCGTGCGCCTTTTTCTCTAAACGTTTCTCACCCACAGAGAACAAATATGATGTTGGAGATTGAGAACTGTTGGCCATCAAACTTGCTTTGGAGTGGAGACATTGGGTGGAGGTGACTGACTTACAGATTCTAGTGTTAACGGATCACAAGGACTTGGCTTATCTACAGAAAGCTAAGCGATTCAACCCCAGACAGTTCCGCTGGTCCTTGTTCTACTCAAGACTCCACCTCAACATCACCTACAGACCTGGTTCTAAAAATATCAAACCTGATGCCCTCTCTCATCATTTCTCTCCAGACTCTGAACCCGAGATTCCTGAATCCGTCTTACTGCCTACCTGCAGAATCGGCAGCCTCTCCTGGGACTTGGAACACAAGACGGAGTCAGTCTCCCAGCTTGAGCCCAATCCTGGGGGTGGTCCGCCCAGTAGACAGTATGTTCCCTCCTCAGTCAGGTCGCAGGTCATCACCTGGGCCCACTCATCCAAGTTTTCCTGTCACCCAGGGGTTAGCAGAACAGTTGCCTACATTTGTCGATACTTTTGGTGGCCTGGGTTAAATAAAGATATCAAGAAGTTTGTGTCAGCTTGCCATGCATGCAACCGAAATAAAAATGCTCACAGACCTCCTTCTGGCCTCCTCCAGCCCTTGTCTATACCTTCACGACCCTGGTCTCATATCGCATTAGACTTTGTTACTGGCCTTCCTCCTTCTAAGGGTAAAACAGTCATACTCACCATCATCGATAGGGTCTCCAAGGCCTGCCATCTAGTGGCTTTGTCCAAGCTGCCTTCTGCAGCCCAGACCGCCAAGCTCTTCACGTCTTCAGACTTCATGGCATTCCTCTTGAAGTAGTGTCAGACTGAGGACCTCAGTTCTTGTCTCAAGTTTGGAGGGAGTTTTGTCATTCTTTGGGGGCTAAACCTTGCTTGTCATCAGGTTTCCACCAGGAATCCAATGGGGAATGGAACAGCTCAACCAAGAGGTTGAAGACGCACTTCGATGTGTCTGCTCCTCTAACCCTCATCAGTGGTCTTTTCCTACCATGGATCGAATATGCTCATAACGCCCATATTTCCACAACTACTGGCAAATCCCCTTTTGAATCCTCGTTGGGCTACCAACCTTCAATCAATCAATCAATCAATAAATCAAAGCTTTATTTATAAAGCGCCTTCCGCAACCCTATCGGGAAGCCCAGGGCGCTGAACATGGTACAAGAGAAAGTTAAAAATGGTGAATAAATCAAAAATAAAAGCAATTCAAATTACAAATTACAAAAAAAGGTAAAACATTCCAGTAGAAGACAAATGGGTAAAACAATGGATCGAGTGAACCAATGAAAACAGGGAAATAAAATCAACATGAAAGAGGGCCAAATTCAAACACATTCAGGAAACACTGGCATAGCCCTGCTGTTGGGGTGAAAAACAATGAGCTCTGTCTTTCCCTCATTAAGATGCAGAACGTCGGCCATTAGCCAAGACTTCACCTCATTAACACAGGAGACAAAGGACTGAATAGAGTGACCTTTCTCCTGACACAATGGAGAGTAAATCTGGCAATCGTCAGCATAGAGATGGAATGATAGGCCAAGTTTACAAAAGATTGACCCCAGAGGTAGCAGATAAATGGCAAACAAAAGGGGACCAAGAATCAATCCCTGCGGGACCCCCCAGCGGAGCCCCTCCCAAGAAGAAAAAACATCACCCAGTTTAACACAGAATGTCCTGTTTTGGAGATACGATCTAAACCAATCCAGAGCTGACCCTTTGATCCCAACCCATCGTTCCAAGCGATCGAGTAGAATCGCGTGGTCAACTGTGTCGAAGGCTGCTGTCAGGTCTAACAACAGAAGCAGCACAGATGTACCCTGATCTAGTGATAGATAGATGTCATTTAGGACCCTCAGTAGAGCAGACTCTGTGCTATGGCCAGACCTGAACCCTGATAGGAAAACCTCAAACAGATCAGAGTCAGCTAAATGTGAGACCAGCTGCTGATAAACGACTTTCTCAAGCAGTTTAGATGTAAAGGGCAGGGTAGAGATAGGCCTGTAATTTTCTATCACAGAGACATCAGCACCAGGTTTCTTCAGGGTCGGCCGAATAACTGCTGCTTTCAAAGCAGCTGGGACCACACCTGTGCTGAGGCTCCCATTGATAATCTGACCAAGTGAAGGGCCAAGGCACGGAAAGGCAGCCTTCCAGAGACGAGGCGGCAGAACATCAAGTGGAGAGCCAGATGGCTTCTGCCTCACAACAAGCTTACTCAGCTCGGAGTATGAAACAGTATTGAGGGAGCTCAGGGTGGGTGGTGATGGAGGAACTGGAACAGGGTCAACAGAGTTACCAGAAATAGCTGCTCTAATGCCCGATACTTTATCAACAAAGAATTTGTGAAAAGCTTCAGAGTTTCCAGCAGCTGTAGGAGACATGGAGCTAGGCTCCTGATACACCAGAACTGAGTTTAGCGTTTTGAAGAGAATCTTAGGATTATTGGAGTTTGTCTCAATGATGTCTGCAAAATAGGCCATTCTGGCAGCCCTCACAGCATCCTGATAAGCAACCAGAGATGCTCTGAACAACTCACGCGAGACCTGTAGGCCATCCTTTTTCCACTTTCTCTCAGAGGATCTACACGCCCGCCTGCAAGCCCGTGTGACATCAGAGAGCCAAGGCTCCCTCCTAGGCCTAGACTTGCACAGTTTGAGAGGGGCAACCACGTCCAGGATCTGATTACAAAGTACATCAAAGTGTTGTGAATAGTGATCAACGTTAGATGGATCTGGGTTAAAGGTCTCTAACCTTACAGACATACAATCCACAAACTTTGAAATAGTTTCTGCATCCAGGGCTCTGAACCTAGTAGCTGGAGCTTCACACACAGGGACAGGACATGGCAGCGTAACATCACAGAGTATTGGAGAGTGGTCAGAGAACACAGGAGGCAAAGTCACAAGGTTCGTGATGGGTAGACCAAAAGAGATAACCAGGTCCAGGGTGTGACCCCTGGCATGAGTTGGGGATGATACCCATGGAGTTTGATTGAATGAATCTAGCAAATAAAAAAAAACCTTTAGCAAGCACATTATCAGGACAGCAGATATGGATGTTAAAATCACCAAAAAAATAGGACATAATCATATTTTAGGATGCAGTCTGCCACAAGATCACTGAAATCATTAAGGAAGTTAGAGTCAGTCTTTGGAGGTCGATAAATCAGCACAACGAGCAGGCGGGGGGAGATGCACAGCTCAAATAAGCACAGTTCAAGGGAAGAAGATGACATGGTGGGTGTAAGCTGTTTACAAGGAAAGCTGGATTTAAAAACAACAACCAGCCCTCCACCTCTGCCCCGTGGTCTGGGGATATTAAAACACGAGCAGCCAGGTGGTACCAGCTCGAGCAGGGCGCTCGAGTCACCAAACGGGATCCAGGACTCACAGATGCAGAGAAAACCCAGGTCATGCTGAATAAAAAAGTCACGAAGAATAAAAGTTTTGTTCAGCACAGACCTGGCATTGACCAGACCAAACCGGGTCTGCGGCGGGGCTGCAGCACCGGGATCGCGCACAAGCACAGTCCCCTCTAACTCTGAGCCCGTACCCGAGCGCAGGGTTAGGGTTGTATTGAAGGTCATCCAAAAGCCAGCTTGAACAAGTGAGCCTTCAGCTGCTTTTTAAAGGAGACCACTGAGTCCACTGATCTCAGGCTCAGGGGGAGAGAGGTCCAGAGTCTGGGGGCCACAGCAGCAGATGATCTGTCCGTAGTATTTTAATATAGTTTATTAGTATTAGTATTAGTATTTTAAGTAGTTTAATAGTAACCGTTTACTATTTAAAAGCAGCAAGGATCGCAGTGAAATGTAGCGGGCAGGCGTCTCCACTCAGAGTAGCCTTTAGCTCATCAGTCCTGAAAGGCATGAACCCTGTGTCTTTGAACATAGGCTGTTCAGGGATCTATCCAGTGGTGAGAGAAGAATTATTAATCACTTTTACACATCCCAGAATGTCCCCAAAACTAACTCACTGCATTTCTGTTTTAATTGTTTTTTGCTTTATGGTTAAATATTAATCAACATTTAGATCTATGCTGTAATCCTGGGTGGAATTCTGAAAGTGAGTTAGCACCGTTAGAAGAAGGTTAGCATCGTTAGAAGAAGGTTAGCATCGTTAGAAGAAGGTTAGCATCGTTAGAAGAAGGTTAGCATCGTTAGAAGAAGGTTAGCATCGTTAGAAGAAGGTTAGCACCGTTAGAAGAAGGTTAGCATCGTTAGAAGAAGGTTAGCATCGTTAGAAGAAGGTTAGCATCGTTAGAAGAAGGTTAGCATCGTTTTCGCCAGACAGAATCACGGGAATGTGAAGAGCCGAGGATTTTAGAGGTAGGAAGAACTTTTTCTTGTTGGATGGAGATCACTTTCATCAGTGTAAACATGACGAAACGGCAACCTGAAAGCTAACCTAACCAAACCCTGGTCCATCCAGCCTGGTTCTGGTCAGCCTCTCATCTCCTCTGTTTATGACCTGGAACTTGTTTCTTCTCTACATTCACACGGGATTTTAGAACAACGACACGTTTAATGAGCAGGAAAGGCTGATCTAACCTGTAAATGTTCTGGCTCTCGTGTCGTGCTGACCGGACCAGACCGTGTTATTATTCGTGACACTGGTCGGCCCTGCTGCTGGAGCCTTTCTCTCTTGTGTTACAAATGAGGCATGTTCATGGACAGAGATGCGTACAAACAGCATTTGTGTTTGAAAGACAAATTTCTTTCTGGAAATCATAAATCTGCCCTCTCTGCCTCCGCTCTGGAGCAGTCTCATGTCTGACTCGCTGATGCCACCTACACAGAAAGCTCTCGTTGCCCTCTCCCATCACTGTGCCTGTGCGGGAACTCCTTTTGGGAGTAGTTTGAGTTAAACGGATCACTCCTAGTCAGGGTGTTTTGGGAATTCTGGTCCATCTTTTTTCTCTTAAACCAACTCTGTGTCCAAAGTAGCTGGGGAACAAATGCTGTCAGACTCATTCCTGCTAATGACCAAACAGCCTCTTCGTGGCTTCAGCTCAAGCTGGTCGTTTATTTTTGCACAAAAAATGGAAAATAACCCCTGAATTGATAAACTAATGTAATCAATCCAATTCAAGATGGCCGCCCCATCAAATCGACATAAGCAAACACAAAAGTTCTCAGACTTGGTGAGTTTAGTCATTGAGCTAAAACCCTGTGATCTATCCAGGCCATGTGAGTATTTTCCAAATTCAATCTAAATCCCAACAAATCCACAATCTCCCCAAAAGATCTTAGTTTAAACTCTGCAGTCGTTTGTATCTTGGGGGACATAAAACTGTTATTAATGAATCTATAATCCTACAGCACCATGCACTCTTGAACAGAGCCTGGTACAGAGTTGCAGCTGATAGCTGTAGAGGACTTTAAGGCAAACGTTCTGACTCGCAGAAAGCCAGGGACAGTCAGATCAACGTTACCCACAATGCATCCTTCTTAAAGAGCGTGGTTCAGGTACTTTTAGCTCATCTGTTTCCGCACATCTAAAAGAATCCAACTGATTACAAGCGTTAAACGAAAGAATAGAACAGCAAACCCATGCTGTGGGAAAGATAAAACAGTCATCTAAAAGTACAGTTTCACTATGTAAGTGTAAGACTGCGGTGCTTTAACGAGAAACTATTTATCAACCAGTGAAAATATTTGCACATTACGGTGAAATTGCCATGAAACCAATGAAGATAAATATAGTAACTTACACATCTAAGGTGTTCTGCATCACCATTTCAATGACGGCTTCATTTATTTTACATATTTTAACAGCTGTGCTCTTTAGAACTTGGCAAATAAGCAAATTTCCTAAAATAAAACACTAACAATAAACAACCCATTAAACTGAAAATCTTGAATTTCCACGGAGTCGAAGAGTCCACCCTTGATCTCTCCAGTGGGCTGGTTGGGGGTTGTGCATCTGGGGGTGTTGCCATACTGTGGAACAGTAAATATGACTCACTGGTGAAGGGCTGAGGCCATTGGGCTGGAGTTTAATTGTAATGGGAAGAATTTTAGTGTTCTGGAACGCCCATCAAGCGTTCCAAGTTAAATGGGATGATCTGTCCTATTTAATGTCACCGATTTTATTTAACGTATACATGGATGACTTATCAACTCAATGAAATGGTATAAAACTTTAGTCACCTCATGTATGCGGATGACCTGGTACTGCTCAGCCCGGCTAGTGCAGGGCTGCTGCAGTTGGTAAAGTCGGATATCCCTCTTGGAGAGTGTGAGGAGGTTAAATACCTCAGGCATGGTTTAACAAATGATTGTTCTGACGATGAGGACAGCTATCATCAGCATTATAAAGTCTACTCCCAGGCTAATATACTCATAAGGAGGTTTGCCATGTGCTCTGACTATGTGAAATGTTCTCTGTTTAGATCTTACATTGCACCTATGTATACTGCTCAGTTGTGGTCCGGCTACACACACAAAAAAACAGTCTGCATGGGTGGCTTAAACTGATGCATTGAGATGTGTGTTGGGTGTCCCTGGGTGGCATAGGGCTAGTCTCCTGTTTGTGGCTGACACAGTGCCAACATTACAGCACGGTTAACACAACTGATGTTTAGCTTTATGAGTCGCCTGGACAAATCAGAGAACTCAATAATTGTAGCAAGAGTTAATCCTCATAACTGTAGTCTTAGATTTTCCTCTAGACTAGGAAGACACAGGTGTAACAGCCTGTACGTTTTGTAATTCTCCTGTGTTGTGCTGTGTGTTGGTTTCATGTTGTTATGGACTTGTGTCTGAAATGAAGTTAATAAACCCAGTAAACAAAAGCCTGAAACCAGCTAGAGCATCAACAGTCATAACCTTCTTTTTCAAATGATCCACTCTTGAGCTAAAGGTTCTATACCATGCTAGGCTGAACCCTTGGGGGCAAAGGCAGGTGTGGTATATGATCAAATGTTACCGTTAGCACCATTGAGATGTCACTTTATCTTAACCACAACAATTACTCTCAATACGCTTACTATGATCAGTAGCGCAAGAGGTAGAGCGGGTTACCCGGAAATGGGAAGGTTGCAGGTTCAATCCCGGCTCTAGGCAGATAATTCTGCTGTTGTGTCCTTGGGCAAGACACTTAACCCACCTTGCCGGCTGGTGGTGGTCGGAGGGTGTCATCTGAAATTGTTTTACAACAGTTTGGAAGGACACACACACACACACACACACACACACACACACACACACACACACACATATATATATATATATATATATATATATATATATATATATATATATATATATATATATATGTGTATATATATGTGTATATATACACATATATATACACACACACACATATATATATATATATCTTCGTCTTCCTCCGCTTATCCGGGTCCGGGTCGCGGGGGCAGCATCCCAATTAGGGAGCTCCAGGCCGTCCTCTCCCTGGCCTTGTCCACCAGCTCCTCCGGCAGGACCCCAAGGCGTTCCCGGACCAGATTGGAGATGTAACCTCTCCAACGTGTCCTGGGTCGACCCGGGGGCCTTCTGCCGGCAGGACATGCCCGAAACACCTCCCCGGGGAGGCGTCCAGGAGGCATCCTGACCAGATGCCCAAACCACCTCAACTGGCTCCTTTCGATCCGGAGGAGCAGCGGTTCTACTCCGAGTCCCTCCCGAATGTCCAAGCTCCTCACCCTATCTCTAAGGCTGAGCCCGGCCACCCTACGGAGGAAACTCATTTCGGCCGCTTGTATCCGCGATCTCGTTCTTTCGGTCATTACCCAAAGCTCATGACCATAGGTGAGGATTGGGACGTAGATCAACCGGTAAATCGAGAGCCTGGCTTTCTGGCTCAGCTCCCTCTTCCCCACGACAGATCGGCTCAGCGTCCGCATCACTGCAGACGCCGAACCAATCCGCCTGTCGATCTCCCGATCCCTCCTACCCTCACTCGTGAACAAGACCCCGAGATACTTAAACTCCTCCACTTGAGGTAGGACCTCTCCCCCGACCCGGAGGTGGCAAGCCACCCTTTTCCGGTCGAGAACCATGGTCTCAGATTTGGAGGTGCTGATCCTCATCCCAGCCGCTTCACATTCGGCCGCGAACCTACCCAGCAAGAGCTGAAGGTCAGAGCTGGATGAAGCTAGGAGGACCTCATCATCCGCAAAAAGAAGAGACGAGATTCTCCTGCCACCAAACTCGACACACTCCACACCACGGCTGCACCTAGAAATTCTGTCCATAAAAGTGATGAACAGAACCGGTGACAAAGGGCAGCCCTGGCGGAGTCCAACCCTCACTGGGAACAGGTCCGACTTACTACCGGCTATGCGGACCAAACTCACGCTCCTCTGGTAAAGGGACTGAATGGCCCTTAACAGAAAACCACCCACCCCATACTCCTGGAGCGTCCCCCACAGGGTGCCCCTGGGGACACGGTCATAAGCCTTCTCCAAATCCACAAAGCACATGTGGATTGGTTGGGCAAACTCCCATGCCCCCTCCATCACCCTTGCAAGGGTATAGAGCTGGTCCACAGTTCCACGGCTAGGACGAAAACCACATTGCTCCTCCTCTATCTGAGATTCAACTATCGATCGGACCCTCCTCTCCAGTACCTTGGAGTAGACCTTTCCAGGGAGGCTGAGGAGTGTGATCCCCCTATAGTTGGAACACACCCTCAGGTCACCCTTCTTAAAGATGGGGACCACCACCCCGGTCTGCCACTCCACAGGAACTGCCCCCGATGACCACGCAATGTTGTAGAGACGTGTCAACCATGACAGCCCTACAACATCCATAGCCTTGAGATACCCAGGATGAACCTCATCCGCCCCCGGGGCTCCGCCGCTGTGTAGTTGTTTGACTACCTCAGCAACTTCTGCCCCCGAGATCGGACAGTCCATCCCCAGGCCTCACAGCTCTGGTTCCTCCTCGGAATGCGCATTGGTGGGATTGAGGAGCTCCTCAAAGTATTCCTTCCACCGTCCGACTATAGCCTCAGTTGACGTCAGCAGCTCCCCATCCCCACTGTAAACAGTGTGAGCGAGTTGCTGCCTTCCTCTCCTGAGGCGCCGGACAGTTTGCCAGAACCTCTTTGGAGCCGATCGATAGTCTTTCTCCATGGCCTCACCAAACTCCTCCCACGCCCGAGATTTTGCCTCGGCAACTGCCACTGCTGCACCCCGCTTGGCTATCCGGTACCTGTCTGCTGCCTCCGGAGACCCACAGACCAGCCACGCCCTGTAGGCCTCCTTCTTCAGCCTGACGGCTCCCCGAACCTCTGGTGTCCACCAGCGGGTACGGGGGTTGCCACCACGACTGGCACCGGCCACCTTACGACCACAGCTAGCAACAGCCGCCTCGACAATCGCAGAGTGGAACAAGGCCCACTCGGACTCAATGTCCCCCACTGCTCTCGGGACGCGGTCAAAGCTCTGCCGGAGGTGGGAGTTGAAGACCGTCTTGACAGGTTCTTCTGCCAGGCGTTCCCAGCAGACCCTCACTATGCGTTTGGGTCTGCCAGGTCTACGCGGCATGTTCCCTTGCCATCTGATCCAACTCACCACCAGGTGGTGATCAGTTGACAGCTCCGCCCCTCTCTTCACTCGGGTGTCCAAAACATACGGCCGCAGGTCAGATGATACGACTACAAAATCTATCATCGACCTGTGACCTAGGCTGCCCTGGTACCAAGTGTACCGGTGGGCATCCTTATGTTCGAACATGGTGTTCGTTATGGCCAAACTGCGGCTTGCACAGAAGTCCAATAACAAAACACTGCTCGAGTTCAGATCAGGCGGGCTTTTCCTCCCAATCACACCCCTCCAGGTCAAGCTGTCATTGCCCACGTGAGCATTGAAGTCCCCCAGCAGGACAATGGAGTCCCCTGATGGAGCACTATCTAGCACTCGTCCCAGGGACTCCAAAAAGGGTGGGTACTCTGAACTGATATTTGGCCCATAAGCACAAACAACAGTCAGGACCCGTTCCCCGACCCGAAGGCGCAAGGAAGCGACCCTCTTGTCCCCCGGGGTAAACCCCAACACACAGGCAGAGAGTCTCGGGGCTAACAAAAAGCCAACCCTAGCCCTCCGCCTCTCACCCGGAGCAACTCCAGCAAAGGAGAGTGTCCAACCCCTCTCCAGGTCTTGGGTTCCAGAGCCAATGCAATGTGTCGAGGTGAGTCCGACTATATCTAGCCGGTACCGCTCAACCTCTGCCACAAGCTCCGGCTCCTTCCCCGCCAGCGAGGTGACGTTCCATGTCCCAAAAACTAGTTTTCTTGTCCGGGGATCGGACCGCCAAGGCTCCCGCCTCGGTCTGCCACCCGATTCGCATTGCACCGGACCCTTCATGTTCCTCCTGCGGGTGGTGGGTCCACAGTTGGACGAGCCCATGTATCCGGTTCGGGCTGGGCCCGGCCGGGCCCCATGGGCGAAAGCCCGGCCACCAGGCGCTCGCTCACGGGCCCCAACCCCAGGCCTGGCTCCAGGGTGGGACCCCGGTAACCCTCCGGGCCGGGTACTCCGACTCTTCGTTTTAATCGCCATGAAAGATCCTTCGAACCGTTCTTTGTCTCACCCTTCACCTAAGACCAATTTGTCATGGGAGACCCTACCAGGGGCACTAAGTGCCCCAGACAACATAGCTCCTAGGATCATTAGGGCACTCAAACTCCTCCACCACGATAAGGTGACGTTCAAGGAGGAACCTGCAGGACGGTGTCAGTTAGCATCATCGACACACACACACACACACACACACACATATATATACACATATACATGTATATATATATGTGTATATATATATGTGTGTGTGTGTGTGTGTGTGTGTGTGTGTGTGTGTGTGTGTGTGTGTGTGTGTGTGTGTGTGTGTGTGTGTGTGTGTGTGTGTGTGTGTGTGTGTGTGTGTCGATGATGCTAACTGACACCATCCTGCAGGCACAGCCATGAATAACACGGTGAACGAAATGTGAGAAGAGCTGTATAGAATATGTGACGTCAATTGGCAAGAAAATAAAAGATGAAAATCATGCCTTCTGTGTTGGTTCATTAAATGACACATGTCATTCTGTCTCAATCTGCCGTCGCTGCTGGTATTCTGCATTCAGTATTCTGCATTCAGTATTCTGCACTTCTGGCTGTGTTTGTGTGTGTGTGTGTGTGTGGGGGGGGGGGGGGGTATTCTGTGTCTGGCACGTAGCAGTACAAGTGATAATGCTGCTACGTTTATTTTCATAAATCCCAAAGTTGCATTGCGTGGAAAATTTCTTACGCAGTTTTTTGACCCCGTCTTGTGCATAAGCAGGCTTTATAAATGAGGCCCCTGGACAGTCCTACAAAGGTTTCTATACAGAAGTTTTCAATAGTGAGTGTGAGGGGCCACAGAGCTGCCCCCAAATAGCTGCGGAAGGTAGGCAAGATCTAAGCTGCAGACATTCCGCCACCGGAGAAGTCCCATTCCCTGTCCCGAGAGGCGTAGAAGATCACCCCGGGGGTGCAAGCCAGGTCGAGCCCCCAGGCCCTCCTACATCTTCTCATTCCAAGACAGGCAATTTCCCCAGTCATTTTTGTTTTATTTATAATTTAAAATTCAAGATGCGATGCAAAATCAGAAATATTTTTAGTATCAAATTTTACATCTGACTTGATGAAATCTTTCATTGAACTGCGTTGATATGTTTTACAGCCACCACCTGTCCTTGCCAGGGAGTAGGAGTTCAGCACCACAGACAGCGCCTGTATCAGTGCACTTTGCTCCTTTCAGATCAGCACGCTGGACAGCGGCACACCTAGGATGTTCTACACAGCACAGCCGCTCTGCATCCCCGATGGCAAGAAGCGGTGTTTCTTTAAAACGCAAAGCCTGCCAGTTCCTCAGGGAACAACGGCATAACCACTAGCCTAACATAGCAGGCCGTATTAGCATTAGCCAGACAAGCATTAGAACTTTAATCATATATTAACTCCATACTAATGGCATAAACAGTGTGACATTCTGTTCTAAGTGTCCCTTTACTCGTCTAAACAGAAGATGAGATGAATAAAATAAAGACTAGAAAGTCACTGAAAATTAACTCTGCCAGAGTGTTTTGCTAAAGCTAACTGCTGAGATGAAGCAGAAAAATGTAGCTCTCACCGATTGGCTGATTCTGTTGTATTGCGCGCATACACACGCACACACACACACACACACACACACACACACACACACACACACACACACACACACACACACACACACACTTGTCTCTAACCCTCCCACGTGGCAGGGGAGAGGAGAGAGCACCACCTCACCCCTGCCACGTGGACCCAAGGGATAAACCATCAGCCCTGCTCTATGGTCACCTGTCCTGGCGGGGTCACCTGATAGGACAGTGGGAGGGTTAAGGCTGAAACAAATCTTTGAATCATTTTAATGTTTTATTTGAAGTGTTGTTGAATGTGCGCACCACAGTCTGAACACATGTTACTGTTGCAAAACGTGGTAATCTAAGTGCTGTGGAAGAAAATAGATAAACCGGTAAATACACAATCCGTTGTAAAAGGCAGAAATGATCCAGATTTTGAGATCAAGGGTGAAACGAATTGCTAATGTGACCGTAGCATGTAGCACGTAGCACGCTCACGATCTAGTGGCGTTCAGTAATAATGTAATGGCTGTGAGCGGAAGACAAATCCCTGCCATCCTGTTTAGTTGTAGATGTCTGCAGCTGCAGCAGTATGGAGCAGAGCTGCAGCGGCTAACTGGAGTCTGGGTTGTTGTTATAGTGCATTTACCCTGGACGTATGCTGAGGTAGTTATTACCTTGAGTTTAATAATAGCGCTGCATCTGCCCAGGAATATTCCTAAGGACACTGAATCCTTTGTTTCATTTAACCGTCTCACACCCATCTCCTTTAGGTTGCACCTTCTTTCACATTTTCCTCTCTGGTCTGTAACAATATGAATATTTGTGTAATCCCTGTGTGGGTTCAGGTGGGGCAAGAAATAAAAGATGACTGGTGACGGTATCTCGCCTCCACGAGCCTTAATGTGTGTGCACAATCCCAAGTTGGAAAGGAAAACACGGGCATCCCACGACACCAGCAAACCAAAGGATAAAAACAAGCAGTGAACAGAACAGAAGAGTGACAGCCGCCCAGTGGGGCAGCATTTGGTGATGGAGCTCAGTGAGGGAGCGTTCATTGATTAGCTGCTTTCCTGCTGCTTTTTTCCTTATTATCCAATGCAACAGCCTTTCACACAGCCATCTTTGATGCTGCTGCTCCAAAACATTTGGCACAGCTGTACACCACTGCTGCTTGTGTTGCTGAGACAGATTAGAGTAGATAAAATAGGTTTAATATATGTTTAATTCCAAAACATGGTTCGTTTTTCACCTCTACAGCTAACTGAAGCATATCCAAAGATAAGGCTGTGATGACTGATGATTGGTCCCTTTGCTTGTGCATTCTCACAGAGTCTGTTCCTCGACAACATGAACAAGATGAAGAACTTTAAGAGACGGTTCTCTTTGTCAGTCCCGCGCACTGAAACCATCGAGGAGAATGAGTTCACTGAGCAGATCAACCAGCTCAACATGAGGCACACACAAGGTAAGATTACACCATCATGGGGTCTTCCTGGAAAATGTCCCTGGAATCCCTAAAACATGAACTGCTGTCAGTCAAATATTCATATTCAATATCCCAAATAGGGCTGCAGCTATTGAATACTTGAATTCAATTCAGTTCAGTTTATTTATAAAACACCAAATCACGACAAGAGTCGTCTCAAGGACCTTCACACAGTAAACATTCCAATACAGGTCAGGTCATTAAGCCAATCAGTAACAAGTTTCCTATATAAGGAACCCAGCAGGCTGCATCGAGTCACTGACTAGTGTCAGAGACTTTACAGCAATCCTCATACTAAGCAAGCATGCAGCGACAGTGGAGAGGAAAACTCCCTTTTAACAGGAAGAAACCTCCAGAGAATCCTGGCTCAGTATAAGCAGCCATCCTCCACGACTCACTGGGGATGGAGAAGACAGAGCACACACACACACACACACACACACACACACACACACACACACACACACACACACACACACACACCACTAGCAGTTTGTACATAGGCACAAACACCTCCAGCCCTCCACCTCTCACCCAGAGAAATGTTCGTTTAGTTGAGTGTCCAACTCCTCTCACGGACTTGGCTTCCATAGCCGACGATATAAGCTGAGATGAGGCCAACTATATGAAGCCAGTAAAGCTCAACCTCTTCCACAAGCTCCAGTCTTTCCCCACTAGAGTGGTGATGTGCCATGTCCCAGATGCCAGTTTCAGGTTCTAGGCATGGTCCAGTAAACCCTCCTCCACAGTGGTCTGCCACCTGGTCTGCTTTGCACCTGACTCTGTGCGTTGCTCCTGCAGGTGTTTACTCCAAAGGTGAAAAAGCCCATGTATTTGGTTGGGCCTGGGCCCCATTGACAAAAGTCTGGCTACCAGGCCCCACCCCCAGCCCTGGTTCCAGAGTGGGACCCTATGGGCAGGGAAAACATGTTCTTTGGTTTAACACTCATTTTAAGTCCATTCACCCGAGCTCAGTTTGTCATGCAGACCCTTTCAAGGGCGAATCGTCTCTACAGTATCGCCCTCAGCATTATTAGGGCACGCATACGCCTGCACAAGGAGCGATCTACAATCATTTAGGAAAAAACACTTGTCTAAACACCTCGCACTTCGCAAAGTTATAAATGGATCACTTTGTTTTTGCCCCCATTGGATATGAGCTGAACTCTAAGGCATTCCCTCTTCTTTGATTATTGCACAGATAAATGCCTTATTGGAAGTTTATTTCAATCAATCAATCAATCATTCAAAGCTTTATTTATACAGCGCCTTCCGCAACCCTGTCAGGAAGCCCAAGGCGCCGAACATGGTTCAGTTGTAGGTAAATATATTGAATAAATCAACAATAAAAGCAATTCAAATTACAAAATAGGTGAAACATTCTGGTACAGGACAAATGTGTAAAACAATGGATTTAGTGAACCCATGAAAACTGTGAGATAAATTCAACATAACAGAGGGCCATAATCAAACATGTTCTGGAAACGCCAAGCGGAGGAGGTGTGTTTTTAGGTGATAAAGACTGGCAGAGATGGGGACAGCCTAACTGAGGGTGGCAATTGGTTCCAGAGTGACGGTGCTAGGACTGAGAAAGCCCGGTCCCCGCGAGTACGACACCTAGAACGAGGGACAGCGAGCAGGCCTTGGTCAGAGGAGCGCAGAGCGCGTGATGGGGAATGTTTGTTCAGGAGAGTGGCCAGATAGGGGGGACCACCACCCTGGAAGAAATGATAAACAAAGACGAGGAGTTTGAATTGTGAGCGATAGGAAATCGGAAGCCAGTGCAGGGAGGCCAGAACCGGACTGATGTGGTCCCGTTTCCTGGTCCCAGTCAGGAACCTAGCTGTGCTGTTCTGCACAACCTGTAGGCGACGCAGTGTTGACTGACACAACCCTGCATAGAGAGAGGTGCAGTAGTCAAGCCGAGAAATTACAAAGGCATGCAGTACCCGCTCCAGGTGGGCTCTCGACAGCATAGGCTTGATTTTAGCAAGGCGTCTCAGGTGAAAGAAACTGGACCGGATCACAGAATTGATGTGAGCATCAAATTTAAGTCCTACATCAAGTTTCACCCCCAAACTGGTAACAACTGGTTTTGAGTATGGAGAAAGAGGGCCAAGATCAACATAACGAACCACATTCCTGCTGTTGGGGTGAAAAACAATGAGCTCTGTCTTTCCCTCATTCCGATGTAGATAGTTGGCCATTAGCCAAGACTTTACCTCATTAACACAGGACACAAAGGACTGGATAGAGTGACCTTTCTCCTGACACAATGGAGAGTAAATCTGGCAATCGTCAGCATACAGATGGAATGATAGGCCATGTTTACGAAAGACTGACCCCAGAGGAAGCAGATAAATGGCAAACAAAAGTGGACCAAGGATCGACCCTTGCGGGACCCCCCAGCGGAGCCCCTCCCAAGAAGAAAAAACATCACCCAGTTTAACACAGAATGTCCTGTTTTGGAGATACGATCTAAACCAGTCCAGAGCTGACCCTTTGATCCCAACCCATCGTTCCAAGCGATCGAGTAGAATCGCGTGGTCAACTGTGTCGAAGGCTGCTGTCAGATCTAACAACAGAAGCACCACAGAGATACCCTGATCTAGTGATAGATAGATGTCATTTAGGACCCTCAGTAGAGCAGACTCTGTGCTATGGCCAGACCTGAACCCTGATTGGAAAACCTCAAACAGATCAGAGTCAGCTAAATGTGAGACCAGCTGTATAACAGTTGGTCTCATTAGCATTACAGCATTAGTTAGTAGCATATTTAGCATTAGTTAATTTAGCATTTTTCCACTCAAATTGGTTACGGTGATGAACTGGTCAGGACTCCAATATGGATGACAAACATACCTGTTTGGTAATTATTTATCAATCCAGGGTTACCTTCGGGGAAGTTTAATGCACAGGCCAGTGAGCTTCCTAGAGATGGCTTCTGACTGTTTGTGTCCAGGGTGGGGAAACCTTTTCATATGAAGGGCCATTTAAATTTTTATATAATCCTCAGAGGGTTACACTTTTGTGGACACATAGGGATGCAAAAAGAAAGACCAACAGTTCTATAACTACTGTGTTACTTAAGCCGCATGGTTGCTGCTTTTTTGAACATCAGACTTGCCAAATGCAATGGCTGGAACTGTTTCTCTTTGATGGGGCCTCTGATGTCGGCTGGCAGTGACAATGATGCTTCAATGATGCTAGGAGGTAGAGCGGGTAGTCCAGTGACATGGGTTAGATCCCGGCTCTGACCAGAGAATGCTGCTGTTGTGTCCTTGGGCAAGGCACTTAACCCCCCTTGCCTGCTGGTGGTGGTCTTCCAAAAGTGGGTCAGTCAGCCAGCCTTGAGCAGAAGCGACTCTTTGTACAAGTCTGTTTAGAAAAGAACTGCGCTGCAAACTTCAGCTCTTGTGTCCTCAGTGTCACGTTGTGGGTGTGGAGATGATGGACCAAGTGTGGTGGAGCAGCTCAGGAGGCAAAGATGCAGGCTCGGATAAAGTAAAAACGAATTTAATTACAGAACGGGAACGGCAGGAACAAACACAACGATGACTTCAAACAACAATGATCTGACAAAGGACATAACGAGACGGGAGGTATAAATACACTGGGGGAAATGAGGAACACATGGGCAGGCTAACAAGGGGCAGGTGAAACCAAGAGGGACTAATCAGGCAGGAGAGGGACACAGTCAGGAAGGCAGGGGCGGAACGTGACACTCAGGATAGGAAAGTCCTCAGCACAAAAGTACAGCAGCGAAGTTGGACTCAGCTCATTCATGTTTTTAGCTCAATAGTTAGCTGTCAGGTTCGGAGCAGGAGGAGTAGGACCCGAGATGCAGAACACCAGATGACATGAAGCAGGAGCGATTGAAAAAGTAAAGTCCTTTATTTCGGATGCAGCCAATTAAATAACGGAGCTGGAAGCAAGACTGAGAGCTAAACCTAGAGAAGTAAAAGCAAAACAGAAGCTCGTCTAAGAGCACAGACCTACTGACAACCAGGGAGGGACCCAAACAACGCTGACACAAGACAATGAACCGACAAACACAGAGGGACAAGACAGGGCTTTTAAACACTGAGGGAGGTAATCAGGGGAACAGGTGGCAGGTGAGGAGGGAGAGGGAGGACAGGTGCAATCAATGAACTAAATGGGAAGGGAAACCAAGCAGAGGGGAAGATAACCGTAACCTACAACTCTCTCAGTAAATAATAAACCTAAAAGGGTGCAGGAGGCTAAGAACAAGTGAGGAAGGATACAAACACTAAAGGGGACTAATGAAATGAACAGCTGAACAATAGAAAACTACAGAGGGGTGACTAGGGGAGACCTACGGGAGCTGGGAAACAACAGGAGACACAGTTACTTACCTGTTACAGCAGATGGTTGCACATTAAATTATGCCAGAATGAGTTTTGCACACTCACCGACATATTCACTTGTGAGATCAGGCTGCTCTTGCAGGGTGGGAGCCTAATGTTTCCCTGGTCCAGTTGTCCTTTCCACAGTTTAACTTCATTTCAAAGGATTTCACATTTGAAAGCAGAGAGCTGGTTGGGACCTTGCAGCTTGACCTTTAACTCTGACAGGTGCTCTTCATCAAGGCCAAATCACTGAACCTCAGTAGCTCAGGAGGTAGAGCGGGTTGCCTCATGATCGGAGGGTCATGGGTTCGATTCCAGCTCCCGCCAGGGGTATCCTGCTGTTGTGTCCTTGGGCAAGAGACTTCACCCAACTTGCCTGTGTTAGTGGTGGTCAGAGGGGCCGACGGCGCCAAATGGCAGCCTCGCCTCTGTCAGACCTCCCCAGGGCGGCTGTGGCTACAAGTAGCTTACCATCACTAGCAGTGTGTGAATGTGAGAGTGTGTGAAAGCGACTTTGGGGATCTAGAAAAGCGCTTTATAAGTTCAATGCATTATTAGAACTTTCCCTTACTGACAGGTTTCCCCTTCATCTCCAGGAAGTGTCTGACG